ATTGCCTCACAGAGTAGATTCGTTTTCTTTCATTCAAAGAGGGGTTATACTCTTTTGAGTGGTAAAAAGGAATGCAAGAGCACGTAGGGGTCAGAATTCCACTATGTAGCTACAGCTAGCTAAATGTTGGATATTTCTTTTGGTTATTACGTGTCACTTACGTTTAGTACCTCCAACATTGGTGGGGTTAAATGCATAATATAGTCAGTCAATTGGTTACTTACTAGTACACCTGAGGCTCACAGGAGACCCGCTACCTCCAGTGGTGTAGGGACAGTCTATCAGTCTTGACTCAGTCCCCACACACTCGACACTACTCATGATGACAGGTAAGTCAGTACTGTAATCATAATCGGTTGAACTTGTACCTGCAATTTACAGATAATTACATTTGACACCGTAGTTCATGTCTATACAGTCTTTACCATTCCTTCCAAGCTGGCGACACACAGCATTTGTGTCTTCAATTGTCCACGTCATATCAGACACTACTCCCCATCTCCCATTCAGCCATACCTGGAGTAGACTACCGTATAAGTAGTAGTAATAATGACTGTTGTCAAGCTTCACTTCTCCTTGTTCAGGGACATCTAAAAGGCAAAGTTTCATGTCAGTGTAAGGTGTTGTATTTTGGACCTGTAGCTGTGTGGGTGTGAAAAACTAGGGACAAACTGACACACAACACTTCTCATAAAGTAAAAAGCGTGACCTTCAAACGCTGAGCTATACCAGAGAGCTAAACATGACACAAAACAAAGGCAAACCCTATAGCTTCTGTACATGATGGTGTAGAAACCAGTACCATTGAGACATGTAACACTCCAGTCTTCATTGTGAGCCCATGAACTAGAGACACTGTAACAGTCAATCAGTCGGTATTCAGTGCCAGAGCAGCCCAAGAGGTTGAGATGTATCGTTCCAACACCTTCTCCGAAATGAGCCGAATAGTAGCTTCTGTCAAAACCATCTACATGTCACAGAAATTATAATGGGAGCAGGTGCAGCCTATCATGTAATAGCTGAAGCACTATTGTGGCTGGGGAGAAGTAACCTTGTTCTGAGTGGACACAACAAAGATTTGCTTGTGCAACAGCTCTCATTCATGATCTAGAGTGTATGCTAGGATCCCAGATCTGACGGTACTACAGCTTCCCCCTACATAATATTGATGTGGCCACCCTGTAGCTAACTATACATACTTTCCCCCAATCACATTGTCCAAACTTGATACACTTGTATCCAACCACTCCATAAAGCTCTAACCAAGAAAATCACTGACCAACTCACAGTGTGTATCATAACCAAGTTGTCTGCAAACTACATGAGCATCAACATCTTCGGCGCCATCGTCTGTGATGGTACCCCATTCTCCATCGAGGTATATCTCACTCTCCCCTCCCAGCTATAGGATCCTCCCACCAGTGTCAATATTCCATGCTGTAGTCACGCACCTACCGATCCACATTATTATATATTCAGCACTCTATATATACCCACTTTAATAGGCAAGTGCAATTGTTTATTATGTGACTTTCAGTTCCATTCTCGTATGTAAACAGTCATTGAATAACGAGTGTGCATGCATATAATTTTGTCTCAAACTTTTGTACCTACAAAAAAACCTGGCAAGTTTAAATCATGACCCACAACACGTTTGAAAAGGTAAAGATGTTGCATGACTCTGCACGGAAGAATGCCCACGTGAAAGGTCGGAAGTAGAGCTGGTGTTGTGTGCAAGGCATTTGTGTGTGTTACTATAACTGTGACATGTAGAGAGACCAGTAAGTTGCTGGAGGTCTTAAACATGGATTTCAGGGAAAGTGGCAAGCGGAAAAAACATTGTAGCGGCTGACTACTGTGTAAAATTGTTGTTTTTGCTTCGGGGAAAGAACATTAACTGGGCTGACTCAACACAGCTTGTGCTACCTCTGCACATTACCATAATTATGTGAAATGTGTTTGTGTCTTAAAAAACGATTATAATAGAGATAACTAGCTAAACACAAAAAGGTTATGTTTTACACTCATGACACATGGTATATCTTATTCATTGGTAATTGCATCAAGTGTAACCTTTTCCACATTTGACTCCCACGTCATTCTGATGGTTTGATGAGGACCCCATTGACAGGGAACATTGTGTAATATTATCTTCAGATCCGGAGCAGGTGACTGATGTTATCGTAATGACACCACTGCCTTGACCATAGGGGGATGGCACTGAACCTGGAGTGCCACACACTGACAAATAAGTTTGGTTTTAACATTTCGGCTTACCTTCCGAAGGTAGTTGAAGTTGTTTACACACAACTTGAGCTTCTGATATACCCCAGTCAGCATCACTGATGGTTCCCCATATTCCATTCCAGAATATCTCCACTCTACCCTCCCAGTTGTGAGGTCCTCCCACCAGACGAATGTCACCATTGCGATAATTTTCATCAACTGAAATCCGTCAACGGGATGGGAAACTCATGAAATATTTGGACAACTTACTTGTGTTGCATTTGACTCCCACATCCTCGTCATGGCTGCTCTGTCTTGTTCCTGTCCCTGTCTCACAGTCAGTCAAGTTGTATTCCATGCCAGAGCACACAATGTGGTCATAGTGTATAGGGCCACTCCCTTGCCCAAAGTATGCTCCAGTATATTTTAGAGACCCTGCAAGTTATTATTAACCACAAAAACAAGCATAAAGCAAACAAGACACAGATGTCAACTATACCTGTGTACTGTTTATTTAGGAGATAACAATAATACTCAGGTGGCTGCCATAGCACGGGCCATTGACCACGGGCCATTGACCACGCACCCAGAGCAATGGGCGGAACTGTTAAAAACGTTAAGTAAGGTAGTAGTTATAACACCCCCAAACGAGTTTGCATGCACGGTATATACCTCACAGTGCCTCCAACCATTATAATTTCACATCAGTAAAAACTTTGGGCATATAAGTATTTGGTTGGTTTCAAAATCCCAAAAAAACACATGATAAAAAGATTAATTATGACTGTCTAACATAAGATAAGTTTCTTTGTCTTGTGCATTGTTTGGCGCACGAGGTGTGGTGGTCAGCTGGACTTGAATTTTCCTCCCCCTCTTACAGAGGACTTGCCGCTGTTTCTTCGATGAGAGCAGTCTCTTTTCGCAGCGCTCTGATTTAGTTTCAAGCTCACTTGAACTCTGTGTCTCATCCCCGGCAGCACTTAAACCGCTAGCAGCTGTTGACATGGTGCTACTCCTCTGTGCTATACTACTCGAGTTGGCCATCTTGGAACTGTAGCACGCGCTTTACCGTAAATCCGTGTAATTAGAGGCATAATCCGTGACCCGCATTTAGAACAAAAACTGTATTTAGCTAGCTATACGGATAGATCCGTTAGGTTGGAGGCACAGATCTCAGAGTGTCTCTCGTTTTCAGAGTTACTTGTCCACTAAGATAGCCTACCTATAATGTTACTCTGTAGATGCCAGTTTTAATCGATACTTTCTGGGGTCTGTGTACAGGCCAACAGCCCAAAAATAGAAGAGGTAGCTATTATATCTAATGGACACATCACAGCTACCTGTCAAGCATACATAAAGTTGCCTGAGACTCACACAACAAAGCTGAGTGGCTAGCGTCTCGAATGCATACCAAGGCAGCGCGGAGTTAGCATACTACTATATACCTTACCCTAAACCCTGTGCGCTCGAGCGGGCTTTACCATCATGACAACAGCAGCGCCGCGCCGCGGTCGCGGGGCGCGTTAGCAGTGAGTGACGCCGTGTGTACGATCGTAGCCTCGTAGGCCTTTTTCGGGGCATGGGAAGGAGGCTAGGATCTCCCTGGCGGTCCAAGTTCGCTCCCAGCGTGTAGCAGCGATTGTATTGGCGAGCACACTTCACTCGTCCTCCCTTCGCTAGCGCATGGGGAACAGGCCGCGGTGATAAACACGGAATGTGGAACGTAAAAACAGAATTTGGAATGGAAAACGGAATGGAAATCGGCATGGCACCTATCGGCCACCGTAGTGGTAGTGATGTTTTGTAGCTTCTCTTGTAGTATAACTGATTCAGATGCACAGCTTTTATTGGCGAGCGGAAGCGAGCTAACCTAGTGGTCCGAACGGCGCGATTTTTCTATATAATATATATATATGTACCCGTACGTCGTCCAACTGCGCATGCTCCAGCATTACGCGCTTCTTTTTATCCGAAAGGGATTTCAACATTTTCATAATGCTGCCTGAATCGAGCGGAATCAGGGGAAACGCAACACCTCCGAAGCTATCGAGTATTGCTGCACAGTCCAGTGAGAGATTTTTCTACATTGCCACTTGTTCCCTATTCCTGCAAGACCAATCAGATTGCCGGATTATGCCTGATTCGCGCTGTCGTCTGATTGTTTTTGACTCGACTCGATTGTCTACTGCGCTCGGGTCGTTTCGGCCTACTTGGTCCTGTGCAATGTATCTCACTGTTTTGTGCACACACAAGAGTGACTCATACGATTAGACCCCAATTGTAAGCGCGCTTCCGCTCGCCAAAATTGCCATGCATTCGCCTACTAGTATATTATTGTTGCAGTAAATCTCACCAGGTTTGAAGTATCCCATGGTGCGACAGACAGCCTGTGTATCTTCACTGGTCCAGTCAGAGTCAGTGATAGTGCCCCATGATCTGTTGAAGAATATTTCGACTCGTCCCTCCCACTGATAGGAGCCACCGACCAGACGCACATCACCACTTCTGAACTGAGCAGCTTGTGTATATACATACAAGGGTTGCGAGTGAAAGCTCGGTAAAGGCAGCCTGTGACGCGCGCGCTGAACGCTTACCTGCCGTACGTGGAAGAGCTCCTTGGAGACAAAGAAGCAGCAGAGCGAGATAAACCATGCTGCTCCTAGGCACTCGAGCATAAACTGTAACAATGTGACGAATACCGTCCGGTAATAATCAGTCTTGCACCGAATCGCGCATGCGTACTAGATACGTTGCGGTCAATACTTCGGCACCGGATGTTTAGCAAAGATACGATTTCGCTATATATATCGTCTAACTATAACGACAATCACACGCAGTCACTCATGCTGTATTAGCTATAATATATCCATGTTCAGCTGTTGATCTTTCATTAACTGTGTGTTATTTCAGACTCCACATATACTCGTGAATCAGACTCATCATCGTCTATCATAACACTTGCATCATCTTTGCCACGGGAAGATTTGTGATAGTGGATCCTAGAATAAGGCATCACAAAATAACTATAACATAGTAAAGCCCTCACCTACCATATGTGCTTGAATAGTCCTTTTTTGATGAATATTATATACCCAACAAGAGCAAATGTCACCAGGAGGGAAATAATAAGAGCTACCAAAGCAACGGCAAGTCCATCTTGTGATCCCTTCTCCAACGTGTCGTTATTTCCTCTACCACTTTTTGAATCATCACTTTCGACTTCAGGCCCAGGATCGCTAGCAGGGTCACACTCAATCCAAATGTCTCCAGAGTGACGATCTTCACTGGTGTCTCTGTGATAGGCACAGTCAGTGAGTTTAGCTTCAGTTCCATGGCAGCCAACGTTGTCCATGTATATGGGAGTGGAGAGAGCATATGTCGCTGTAGTCTTGTAATGCCTCCCTGTGAATAAAGAAGTTTAGACACATGAGATCTAACTGTTGCACTTATTGTTTTAAGAAGTGCGGAGAGACAGACGGACAGACGGACTTAAAAACCAAGTACCGTAACCCTCGCTGTCCATGCGCGCCAAGAGTTAATAAGCAATATTGTGTGAACCAGGTAGCTAACAGTGATACTGTTGAATAACAAAACTTGCACACACCAGTGCTGTTGAACCCAAGTTGTCTACAAGCAACTTGAGTGTCTACGGCTGTCCATCCATCTCCATTTACTGTTCCCCATCTCTGGTCAAAACACACTTGCAACGCTCCATGTTTGTTTGAGCCACCACCTAGCACCTTTAGATCCCCATCAGCACAGTCAGCTGTATGTCATAATAATAATATGTACCATAGTTTATGTGTAAACAGTACTTTTACAGCGATATTTCTCACGTTTTTTGCACTGAACCCCAACATCTTCAAAGTGGCTGCTATGAGTAAGATTTCTTCTATAGCCACACTCCAAAAGACTCATCTCTTTACCAATACATCTGACGCTCTTTATGAACACTGGCATTGAGTTTGTGGCTGGCCTCACTGAATAGTCATTGCCTGCACATCACAAACACACATAAAACGGCGTTCTCTAAAATCAACAATGTACCATCTGATGGTTCATATCCGAGGTCATTACAGACGACAGTGGACTCTGTCTGAGTCCACCCATCACCACTGATGGTCCCCCATCTCCTACTGAAGCAAATCTCAACCCTCCCCTCCACATCCGTGGCTCCATCCACCAGTCTCACTTGCCCATCCACACAGTATGCTGTGATTTAAAAATGGAGACAAGTATGCACTACATCTTCACGTTCTTTGTGAGCATAAGCAAAGAAGAAGCGATAATCTTACCTGGATAGCAATAAACACTGAAGAGATCAGAACATGTTTGCGAGTTGTTGCTTTCACGGTAAGGGCAGTCAAAAATGCGACTCTGTTCGTCAGGACAGGTTAAAGATGCAAGACGCACTGGCAGTCTACTAAACCCTATTACTATTGTAGTAGTAGTAGTAGTAGTAGTATATGAATCCTGCAATGTAAATTGACGAGACGCTCAGTGATATTTTACTATAGCCTGAGAGTACTGCTCACCGCCACTATACCCCAGCTGCCCGCACACAGTGCGTAGGTTAGCTTGTGTGTTGCTGCGGCAAATGGTGCCCCATCTCTTATTAGAGCACACCAGAACAACTCCTATTCTCTCTTGTGCTACTCGTACTCCTTCATGAATTTGTAGTAACTTTACATCCCCATCCTCACACTGTGCTGCAATAATATAATATGGTGACTAGTGCAATGATTAACCTCTCCTTGTTCTATACCTGGTTTACAACGGATTCCTATGTCGTCATCGTGATCACACTCTGAAAAGCTGTGACTGAATTGAAGGCACTCCCTCAGCCAGTTCTCTGAGCCTTGACACCTGACGTAATCCACAACAACAGGAATGTTAGGATCTCCTCCAAAGACGTGGAGTCACTTGATACGGCCCTGTAGTATGAAGATTTGTTTTATCATGGCTTCATAATGTGGTGAATAGCTACTCAACCTTCATCATCGTCAAAACCTAAAGAGCGGCACACAACTCTGGAGTTTGCCTCAGTCCACTGGTTGCCACACACAGTACCCCACATGGAGCGAGAGTTACACATTTCAACTCTTCCCTCCAGCTCCGTACTGCCACCAGTCAGTCTGGTGTCTCCATAGTTGCAAGATGCTGAACCAATAACAAAATGGTAGCTAACCCAGTGAAAAATATTTTCAATTGTAGCAACTCTGTGTTCTCTAATGTTCGAGGCATTCAATTATGCTCATACATGCACACGTGATATGCACATGATACATAAAGAAAGCACCAGGATGTGTTGTTTTGACTACATCTTTGCAAAGTAACTGAGTGCTTACCTTCAGGTGAACATGCCACACTAACAAGAGGAAACCGATAGTCTCCAGGTTCATAAACACAGTCTATCAGCTTCTCTTCGATCCCCAAACAGCTAACATTGCTCATTATAATAGGGAGAGCATACGTCACATCAAAATAATCAGCTTCAATTTCAGCACCTACACAGCATTTTAAGCAATATTGCATAATGACCAGGGAGCAATAATGGTATGTTTCACACCGTTTCTTCCAAGCTGATGACAAACCGTCAGTGCATTCTCAGTTGTCCATTTTTTGTCTGAGACTGTTCCCCACTGGCCATTCAGCCACACATTAAGGAGGCCCATGTGAAAATCAGGGTAGTGGGAATAATAATACAATTTTACCGCTCCTTCTTCAGGTACATCTATCATTAATGGACAATGGAAGAAAAACTGTGTGATCACGATTCTCTGATGCGAAAATGCTAACCGTTTTTGCAAAATATTCCCCAGTCGTAGTAGTGCCCCCAGCTCCAGAAACCGCTCTCACACTCCAGTAGTCTGTACTCTACACCAGTACAGTGCAGGTAGTTTGGGTGCCTTTCTCCGCCTTCCGTTTCAAAATGGTAATCATAACCACCATTCTCAGCCGTGTAACCATCTAATGATAAAAGTCATGTATGTAAGACCCCAATAAGATGACATGATAGGCTCACTTAGCAACTCACTATTCCAATCCAACCAGTATCTCTAATTGCCAATGCTATTGCTATATAGCTATCTTTTCAAGAGCCATGCACTAAAAAAACTTACGTCGTGTGTCATATCCAAGTTGTCGGCAAGCTACCAGAGCATCGACTGCATCAGCAGAACTCTGTGAGAACGTTCCCCATTCTCCACTGATGTACATCTGCACTCTCCCCTCCCAGATGTAGGAACCTCCCACCAGACGAATGTCTCCATTTTTGTAGTCAGCACCTTCCATAGTGTTTCAAGGTATGCAGCATTAGTGACATACCATGTCTGCAACATTGTTTAATGCAGTGGAACCTCCAATATGGGACTCTCTGAGATAGGGACAACCTCTCCACAAAGTACACTTGTTTAAACCTCCAAGATAGGGATTACCTCTCTACAATGGACAAAATGGTTGGCCCCATAGTATACATCCTTTGTTTGAAGGTTCCACTGTATAGCTATAACATCTGTAGCTATAACAGAATCTTTGTTGGTGGATATTTTAGCATCTCACCTTTTCCACAGTTAACTCCCACATCATTCTCATGATGTGCAGAGGTGGATGTTGCAAGGGAACATTCAGTAATATCAGATTCTGAGCCACTACAATTTGCAGTCATTTGAATCAGCCCTGCTCCTTTACCATAGTGTGCAGAAGTGACACCTGTAACGTGTTGAGTGTTAGCTATACTAAACTTCAATCCAGAGACCTCTTGATGGACATGCATTTTTACTCACTTCCCGAAGGTAGTCCTAACTGTTTACAAACAACCTGTGCTTCTAAAGTCCCCCAGTTTGTCTCATTGAAAGTCCCCCATATTCCTTTCCAGAATATCTCCACTCTACCCTCCCAGTTGTGAGGTCCTCCCACCAGACGAATGTCACCATTGCGATAATTGTCATCAACTGAAAAGTATGCAATAATTTTACTTTTCTCCAGGACTTACTTCTTACTTGTGTTGCATTTGACTCCCACATCCTCATCATGGCTGCTCTGTCTTGTTCCTGTCCCTGTCTCACAGTCAGTCAAGTTGTATTCCATGCCAGAGCACACAATGTGGTCATAGTGTATAGGGCCACTCCCTTGCCCAAAGTATGCTCCAGCAAATCCCATAGCTCCTGTAAAAGCATAGATGTTTCTTTTATTATGGAATATATTATGATGATGCTTTCAGCCAATTCACGTTTACCTTGCACGAATTATTGCATCAAAAGCAAGTTTGGTGTACATTGATGATTAAAAACATGATAGCTCAACAAAACAGGTACTGTGTATCTACTGGTTAATGTATGTGACTCTATTAAGTACTGCCCAACCCTCATTGCCTAATGGGGTTGGTTTGGAGGTATCGTGCAAGGGTCATCCCAATTCAAGGGATTATCCTTTTTAGGCTCTATGCTATGCTCATCTTACCGGGGGGCCCTCAAGGCGCATGCTCAGTGGGCGGGCTTTACCTAACGCTGGCCCCCGTACTTATTCCTCTTACATGCACATCTATCCTTGCACGCACCCCCTAACGGATGGGTGGAGCATGGGGCACCCAGCCAGCATGGCTGATTCTCCGCCTACGGATGACCCTTACACGAAGGCCACATCCTTAGGTAGGATTGGCAAAGACGAATAGAATAGGGAAAAGAGAAAAGAGGAACGAAAGGAGACGCACAGCGAAGGGTGGGGGGGAGATAGAGATGATTGCTTGCTTGCTTGCTTGCTTGTAGTGCCACTTGCCTGGCTGCAGTGCCAGTGGCTTGCTGCTGCTTAGCCTGCTTCGTTGTCTCTCAGCTAGAGAGACGCTGCTGTCTGGCCACGTGCTGCTGATTCTATTGCGCATGCCTAGTTGCTTTGGTACGCCCTCATTCAATGGGCTGCCACTACTACCCTTCACCAATGCCTAGTTGTCCCTACATTAACTCTGTCTAATTGTCATTAAACATCATTAACAAAATATGATTTGAGAGTATGCGACTATTGGTATTATTAGAGTATGTGGCTGTGCAAATTCATTACAGCTTATAAGGTATTACTCATGCACTAGATAATGACTCTTTTTCTGTGGGCCTTGATAGCTTATTAGCTAGCTATGCCTTTTTACTTTACCAGGTCTGAAGTATCCCATGGTACGACAGACAGCCTGTGCGTCTTCACTGGTCCAGTCAGAGTCAGTGATAGTGCCCCATGATCCAGCAAAGAATATTTCCACTCGTCCCTCCCACTGATAGGAGCCGCCGACCAGACGCACATCACCATCTCCGAACTGAGCAGCTATAGCGTTGCATACAGGTAACCTATGATTAGCACAAGAGCTACAAAACCTACCAGACAGATTATTCAGTAGCCAAATTAAGGCAAAGATTCTAAGGGAATCCATGCTTCTTTTACAGTAATGGCAAGAAAGCTGCTAAAATAGCAAACTCCATATAATCGCGCAAGGCGCCCGCGCCAGACCCGCATCTTCGCTCACACACGCGCGTGCGTGTTGACGACATGCCTCACGTGACCCCCCTTGGGCGGCCGAAGTGGGCGTGGCCTAGCAGCAATACACGCGTATTATATACTGCATGCGCAATCGCCATTAAAACAGTCGACTATAATGGGTGGACCGTTTGCTCGCCAATATAACGATTCTGGTCTATCTTACTATCATTTCAGAAACTAGTTTCCCACTGTCCATTATGTATTAGTTAACGTATAGGCGGCGAGGCGGTACAGGAGATACTCCGAGGCTGTTGACTATACCGGACGAGGGCGTAGCCCGAGGCGCGGTATAGTTAACAGCCGAGGAGGATTTCCTGTACCCGCCAAGACGCCTGACGTTAACTGATTTGTAGTCCAACTAGCCAATCACAATGCTGAATTTCTGCTGCGTCATCTTGCACTAATGTACTAATAGACTGTTGTGTAAACTTTGGAAGCCAGACAATTTGCACTACGCCTAGCGCTAGATGTTGTGATAAGGACTTCCTGTCCAATACTGATACCGGTGCAGCCCGCAGCCCACAGCTCAGAATACAGCGTATATTCCTAGCACCGGGTTGTTTGAAGTTGGACTACAAATTATAATACTGTACTGGCATATTATAATTTTGATGAAAGATTTTACAATGAGTCCATCATTTTATGCAAAATAATTATTGTGCTTTACTTCAGTGGAGAATCAACCAGAGTTTGTGGCTCCAGGACGATATTACTTACAATCGGATTTTCATCTTCCTTTCCTTGACCTGACTTTTGATAGTAGGAGCTATTGGAAGAGAACAGCAAAAGATTACGATGAAAACCTATTACAGTTTGTGACAGCCGCATGCAGTGTGTATGCTATGCTTTTGTATAAGCTCTTTATTAACAGACTCTTATGTATATTGACAACCATTTGATAAAAGCGACAAACCTTATTTTTTCACGAATGTGTTCTTGTTTCTTGTAGAGTAAGCAGCCAACAAGAACAATTGTCACAACAATTGAGATAATAAGAGCCACAAGGGCAACAATTAGTCCCACGTCTGATCCTTTCTCGGAAATCACCCTTTGTTCAGTCCGTATACCATCACTCTTTGGATCGGTCTCTGTTTTATCTTCAGGCCCAGGATCGCTAGCAGGGTCACACTCAATCCAAATGTCTCCAGAGTGACGATCTTCACTGGTGTCTCTGTAATAGGCACAGTCGGTGAGTTTAGCTTCAGTTCCATGGCAGCCAACGTTGTCCATGTATATTGGAGTGGAGAGAGCATATGTTGCTGTAGTCTTGTAATGCCTCCCTGTGAATAAAGAAGTTTAGACACATGAGCTCGCAATTTTTGTTTTAAGATGTGCGGAGAGACAGATCGACAGACAGACCGACAGACAGACTTACAAACCAAGTACAGTACTGTAACCCTCGCTTCGCATGCACGCCGAGGGTTAATAAGCAATACTGTGTGATCCAGGTATAGGCTAGCATTATTCATGCGGTCACAAGTGATACAGTCGAATAACAAAAACTTGCACACACCAGTGCTGTTGAACCCGAGTTGTCTACAAGCAACTTTAGTGTCTACGGCTGTCCATCCATCTCCACTGACAGTGCCCCATCTCTGATCCAAACACACTTGCAACGCTCCATCTTTTTTTGAGCCACCACCCAGCAGCTTTATATCCCCATCAGCACAGTCAGCTGCAATATCATGTATCATAGTTTATGTGTAAACAGAACTTTTACAGCGATATTTCTCACGTTTTTTGACACTGAACACCAACATCTTCAAAGTGGCTGCTATGAGTAAGATTTCTTCTATAGCCACACTCCAAAAGACTCATCTCTCTACCAGTACATCTGACACTCTTTATGAACACTGGCATTGAGTTTGTGGCTGGCCTCGCTGAATAGTCATTGCCTGCAAACACATATAAAACTGCATTCTCTATAATCAACTATGTACCATCTGATGTTTCATATCCGATGTCATTACAGATGACAGTGGACTCTGTCTGTGTCCACCCATCACCACTGATGGTCCCCCATCTCCTACTGAAGCAAATCTCAACCCTCCCCTCCACATCCGTGGCTCCATCCACCAGTCTCACTTGCCCATCTGCACAGTATGCTGCAGTTTGAAAACGCGATCTTTAACACTCAAGCATACAGCCATTATTTTGGAAACCTAATGTAACATGGTATATATAGCTAAGGACTAATGCAATACAATACTGGGACCACAGGTCTTGAACCCAAATGTGACCGAAGTGATATAATTAAGTTACCTGAGTAGCACCAAATTGTGAGAGGTTCAGAGCAGATTTGTGACTTGTTACTTGTTTTCGTAACTGCAGTCAAACACACGAGTCTCTTCGCCATAGCAGAGCAGTGATGAAATATACGCTGGGACACTTGGAAAACTATCATCCGGATAATAATAGCTTAGATACCCTGTATAAGGATCAAGATCACAGTATATACGCACACTAATATTTCACTGGGAGCTATAGCTCACCGTCCCTGTATCCCATCTGTGTGCATATGGCGTATAAATTGGCATTATTCTGGCTTTTGCAGAGCGTGCTCCATCTCTTGTTAAAGCACACCAGAACAAAGCCCTCCATTTCGCCTTTGTCTAGAAACCTTACTTCTCCATCCTCACAATTGGCTATAAGGAGGAAAAAAGTTCTGTGCATGAATAGTAGCTACAGGTTACGGCCCACAAAGTAGAATTACTGAAATTGTCCTTTACGCAGTGTGTGACACAAACCTGGTTGACAGCGGACTCCCACATCATCGCTATGACCACACTCTGAGTAGCTGTGGCTGAAGTGGACGCAATCCTTCAGTGAATTCTCTGAGCCTTGACACTTGACATAATCCACAGCAATAGGAAAATTGTTTGGCTCTTCATCAAACTTGTAGAAGATTTCGGATGCCTCTTGAAATGAAAAGCAGTATAATTTGCAACATGGGAAAATGGTGTACTTTTGGGTGCACTCATGAGTACATACGTGCAAAGTCCAGCTCTCTAGTTAACATAAGTGCCGATCGTCTTGGTGCACAGCTATATATGCCTCTACATGTCTTAACTGTAACTGCATTATTTTGCAACAAGAGGAATAATTATACATTGAGGGCACTCTATAAGGCAGCTAATGTGAAAATTTAAACTTTTGAGTTAAACGTAAGTGCTGATCATAGTTCTTCTATACACACACCTTCCTCGTCACTGTAGCCGAGAGAGCGGCACACAACTCTCGACTGAGCCTCAGTCCACTGGTTACCACACACAGTACCCCACATGGAGCGAGAGTTACACATTTCAACTCTCCCCTCCAGTTCCGTACTGCCACCAGTCAGTCTCGTGTTTCCATAGTTGCAAGATTCTAGACCAGGATTTGTTAAATGTGTATGTATAGGCCACAGAGAGAGAAGAGCGAGGAACCTACCCTCATCTGTGCATTCCAGGCTAACAGGACGATAATATTCATCCGTAATACTAACATCAGTGTAGTAACAGTCTGTTAGTCTCGACTCGGTTCCATCGCAGGTAACATTGCTCATGATGACAGGGAGGTCATCATAGTAATTGTAATAAGTTGAATAGCTTTCAACACCTAAATGAAAGAATTGTCTGTGCACAAACAAATTGGAGGGGAAAATAACGTTCACCCTACTAACCCACCGTACACCCTTGTACGTTCCAGATGAAGTCTTCAAAAGTAAAGCACTAAAGTGCAAACCCTCGACGAACTGCGCATGCGTGAGACCGCTAATAATGGGCTGGGACTATGTGTTTACTCGTGGTCTCCCGCTAGTAGCTCGCGGAGAGTCTGACACGGGCTAGCTACAGTAGTAGATAGCATGCGGAGGACGTTCGCTGTGACTTCTTGTGCCTCCAAGGTACACAGAGCAAGGCGGACCTGGTCGAGGTAAGCCTGTGCTAATTTGCAAAATGACTTTTTCACTTGGTTTTCACGCCATAACTCTTGAACGCAGTACTCTTACGAAATTCGCCATTATTTAAAATCAAGCCAGTGTAGCACTGAACCTTTTAGTATTACTCTTTTGTTGTCTCGTTGCGTGTGGTGGAGAAAATGTGGTAACTGACAGACGGATGGACGGACGGACGGACGAACACACAAACTAACGAACCAATTACCGTAACCCTTGCTGCGCATGCGCACCGAGGGTTAATTAAAGACGATAGGGTGTGTTTGTATATGTACCCTGCCTCTTTATGGAGGCTCTGGACACATTTAAATAAGTACCGGCAGATGGTTAAGTGTTAATTTGTGCATGCGCAATGATTATGTGCATTAGGCCTATCATGCCAAACTTTGTTGGGATTCCGCTGCCCCAGTGTCAACCATTATCATACCGTCCTTTCCAAGTTGACGACAAACAGTGTCTAAGTTTTCGTCAGTCCATGAGTCTCGTGACACTGTACCCCACTGATCGTTCAGCCATACATGAAGCAACCCTTGGTAGTAGTCAGTGTTACGAGCATTGTAGTACAGCAGTATACTGCCTTCTTCCGGATTCTCTGAAAAGAGATCAATAAAACTAGCAAGTGTAATCATTTTCAGCCTATATACACCCTATGACAGAGGCAGGTTAACAACACCTAACTAGAACGAATGCCACCCATTTTTGTCAAGCGAGTGCGAGCAGCTCAATTTTTCGTGTGTAATTGGTATTACGTATTATAATGTTTTTGGTCTTCAATGCAGGAAATCTACCATTCTTAGACTCATTCACCGTTTCTGCAAGTAATGCCCCAGTCGCTGTAGTGCTGCCAGGTGCTGGATTGACTCGGACACTCCACTAGCCTGTACTCAGTACCGTAGCAACGAAGGTAATTGAGGTGGATTGGCCCACTCCCCATTCCAAAGTCACGATAACTGGTGTGGGAAGTGTCAGTATAACCATCTGTAGTAGAAAAGGAGAGAGCGCAACAATATTGGCACTGGGGTTCAGCTAGTGTCATCCGGCCTGTATAATGCTATATAACTACAATGGAACCTCTGATAAGGGACAACCTCTCTACAAAGGACACTTTTCAGCCTCATGCTAATGCTTTAGCGTATTGTTTGACCTCTGAAATAGGGACAACCTCTTTATATACAAGGGAAAAAATTAATCTTTGGGCCCACAGACTCCCTTGTTCAGAGGTCTCACTGTATTGGGTCATGACAGAAGCTTTGCTGTGTGGTTCAGCTCTAGTTTTCTACAAATAAGCTTTAAACACTATTAGTTTTAACACATTAAAATCCTTCCTAATAATTATCTAGAAGAGAGTGAACAACAGTTGGAGATCCAACTTACATCGAGTGTCATAGCCAAGTTGTCGGCAAACTACAAAAGCATCGAGTGAATCACTATTGCCATAGGAAATAGTTCCCCATTCTCCATAGAGGTATATCTCCACTCTCCCCTTCCAGCTATAAGATCCTCCCACCAGACGAATATCTCCACTTTTGTAGTCAGGACCTTTTTGGAAAATTGGTCGAGGTATTATATGTCAATGTTTATTAGCATAAAATTGGTTTGTTCATTTGCTCTTATAGAGATTTTGACTGCCGTACTAGGAACTGAGAGCGAAGGTAACTCTCACTTCTGCGTGGCACAGTTTTTATTACAGATGCCTGGTTGGCTTTTTATGAATGTGACACGGAATTAATACGACTGCTACACTCTTGATCTCTGAGGACCACTATAGCAACTGTCAATGCTGGTGGGTTGCTGAGAGACAATGCCAGGCACATCGGTCTTTCTTTTTCACATTTGACGATAGCTTTGTGTACAGCTTGGTGAGAAAGATTAGCTATGCTAGCTAATGACAAACCAGCAGGAGGAATGTTTAGCACAATGCCCAGAGTATAAACGACCAACTTGATAACTAAGTGACATCTGTTCCCTTCACACTTCCCCGCCCACCTAGCATCTGCATTATAGTTATGCTACTCCCTTGCCTTGTCTACACTTGACTCCAACATCATCCTCGTGGTTCGCTAAGGGTTCGGTGGAATGTGGACATGATACAATGTTGTCTTCTGATCCGACACACTCAATGGCAGTGAAGTGGATGGGTCCAGTGCCATTTCCATAGGGGTCACAACAACCTACAGGAGTTGCTCCTGCAGGTATCAATGAAACCTGTTACAGCCACTCTTAAATCATACGGTAACAAAATTGCAAGTCATTTTCAGCTAGCGTGTGCATGACATGCTAAATTTAAATTTAAGGCATTGCTATATAAAGGCCAGGAAATCAAACCCTACACTTTTCTTGGGAAACACTAAACTAAACCCATGCCAACCACATTTCTTTGTACCAGGGCAGCTCAGTTGTACTGAGTTACCATTCTGTGCATGAGGGCATATACTAGATACACATTGTGGTTAAATCTGATAGTGTTATGTATACACCTTCCTGTGCCAGCCCTAGTTGTCTGCACACCACTTCAGCTTCCACAGTGTCCCAGTCATCTGTGCTTATTGTTCCCCATTCACCATTCCACAGAATTTCCACTCTACCCTCCCAGTTGTGCTGTCCTCCAACGAGACGAATGTCCCCAGGTTGATAGTTTTCATCAACTGAGAGGAGAAGACAAGAGAAGCATTAGGGACACAGGAGAAACAGTTGGTCACTGTTTACCTGTGTTGCATTTGACTCCCACATCCTCGTCATGGCTGCTCTGTCTTGTTCCTGTCCCTGTCTCACAGTCAGTCACGTTGTATTCCACGCCAGAGCATTTGATACAGTCAAAGTGTATTGGACCTTTCCCTTGTCCATAATAGGCTCCAACGTATCCTGATGCTCCTATAAATGCAGTATTGTAGCTGTATTTACCTCAGTATAATATATATACAAAGGGAGGTTTCCTCTCTGCAAATATGCTGCCTGTCATGAATGTAATTGATCAAACGTAGATAGCCTCTGCTACGACAACGTTGCCCAGACTGTTTTCACTAGCTATCAATCGATGACTTCCGCCATAAGCGGCCCATGCCTTACCAGGTCTAAAGTATCCCAATGTGCGGCAGACAGCCTGTACGTCTTCACTGGTCCAGTCAAAGTCTGTGATAGTGCCCCATGATCTGTTGAAGAATACTTCCACTCGTCCCTCCCACTGATAGGAGCCGCCGACCAGTCGCAAATTACCATCTCCATACTGCGCTGCTACTGCAATGAAAATCATTCGTGGCTAGTTTGTACACCGGCATAGGTGTAGACACGTACGTACCTTGTACATTACGCAGTAGACACAACTGCAATACAGAGCCTAGCAAAAGAGCAAGAAAACCCATGCTGTACTATATAGCAGTACGCAGTCAACGCAGCTCAGGTTCGGGTGGCGCGCGTGCTCCTGCAGCGGGCAGGGGTATTATATATACCCCGTCGCGGACGTTTGCGCGCCAGAGGAGCGGGTTGCGCACAATCAACATTCCTAAGCTGTCCGCGCATGCGGTTATAATGTAATCAAGTATCGTAGCTGCGAAAGGAAGTGGCTCTGGCTGGTGTTCAGGTGGGCCAAAACCTTGCTATCTCTCGATTGTTTATATGTCCAAGTGTGTACCACGGAGAACACTCGTAGCCTTGCAAACGCCAGTGTGCCGTTCTGCATAAAGTGCTGACTCAGCGGGTTGACTGGGCTGCACTGCGTGGTGGTGGTGGCGGTGTGGCGGGCAAACTACGTCTCTAAGGCGCACATGATGCAAGCGATGACGCGTGCACAACGCCATACTCCAACAATAAAGATGTATTTTTACACTGATGTTCCTACGAAAAATACAAAATCATTGGGGGTGGATTAGTTAATAAACAGACAGCGAATAGAGAGGCGAAAGATGGGGAGAGGTGGAGAAAAAAACAGTTACAATTCCATTCTCAAATGATAGATAAAGTATGTGTTGGCTTGTCTCTTCTTGCGCTGATGTTCTTCAAATCGTTGACCTTATAAGGGGTTGGGGGTAGGTACAGAGAAATGGAGACCAAAGAGGGATTGGTGTAACTATAATTATAGAGAGAGGTGAAGAAGAAAGTATACATCACAATTCCATACACAAATAATAGATAAATCATTACAATTTGTTGGCTTGTTTCATCTTGCACTGATGTTCCTACAAAAAATGCAAAATCGTTAGGTGTTGGGGGGTTGGGTGATAACTCTAAATCAGACTATACTTAGCTTCCATCATCAGACCTTCTTTTCCCTTTATTGCTTTCATCATTCCCAACCCCCAACCCCTTAAAAAGGTGCCACCAGACTTTATTTCTGAATGATTATAATATAGCTTCCATCACCAGACTTTCTTTCTGAATGACTACCGTAGCTTCCATCATCAGACTTTCTTTGAGAATGATTACCATAGCTTCCATCATCAGACTTTCTTTCAGAATGATTACCATAGCTTCTATCATCAGACTTTCTTTGAGAATGACTACCAGAGCTTCCATCATCAGAGTTTAGTTCTGAAATATTACCATAGCTTAAATCGGACTTTAGATAGCTGATAGCTTTATTCATCAGACATGTATTTTCAGTTACATTAACTTACCTGAGTTTACATCATCTACCATAATCATTACCCGGACTTCTATTTACTCTTGATGGTATAGGCATCTCTTACTTGGGGTTTAATCAAGCTGTTTTGTTGGTGCCTTTTCACCCAGGTCATTTCAGTGGGGATCATAGGTTGAAGAACTATAATAACTTTGCTTTGTGAGGTATAGTATTGGTAGCTTATCGGCAAAAAGAGGCATCCCTATATTACCGTACTCAGTAATTTAGCATGATACATTGGTCAGTGGAACCAGACACCATGAGAGAGAAAGTGTCCATATTGTATACTAGTTATTCCCATAGATGTGTTCTCATTTTTTGGGGTGTCGAGGGGTTTACAGAATGTGGCCTTGGATTGACCCATTATACACCTTTTTGTGCAGTGTGCTGCTCCTACTAATTAAACTATATACTAGGCTAACTTAGCTATGTTGTAAGGCTATGCTGCAAGTTCGCAGCAACTTGCTGCTAGGCAGGCAATCTTCCTATACAAGAGCAGCTACATACGTAATGCTCAGCCTATAATTTCCGTTCATGGGGCACAAAGGCTCACTCTTGCCCTAGCCCCGTAATTGCACATATTTATTAGTACACCATGCTCTCATGTTATACAGGCAAGGACTATTTACTAGTCAAATTGATTATCAAGCACAATAGCTCTCAAAATCTTTCTCTCATGTAATGCTTTTCAAGCAGAACATTATACACAATGAATTGCTTAACCTGTACAAGAAACCAAAAAAAATGCTGGAAACCTAATATTAAATCTTACACCGCTCCATTCACTTTGTGCTACGTTTTTGATGTAGTAGAATGGCTACTCTGCTTGGCGCGTTGTTTGTGCTGTGAACTGGTTAGCGTGTGCTGGTGCTCGGGGTGTTCGTGAGTCGTCTGCTGATGAGAAATCTTTCTGGACGAGGCTGCAGTAGTGGACGGTCTTTGGCCTACTGAGACAGATCTCTGCCTCCCAGGACTCCTACTGCGAAGACTGCTAGTTGAATAGTTCTTGAGTTGGCCCGAAGAGGAGGGAGATGTCGTGGGAGGATTAGGGTCGAGGGTGGACGTGCTTCTAAACCTCTTCTCTTGGAGAGACGGTTTCTCAGAGTGGTGCTGATGTGAAGTTCTGGGAGAGGGTGAGGGGTGTCGTGGGTGGTGGCCGGAGGTTGAAGTCTTTTTGACTGAGGGTGGCTGGTGCGTGGAAGTGTGGAATTTCAGAGAGGGTCTTTGGCTGGTGCTGCTGGCGTGGCCTGTCATGTCTTCCATGAGCTCAATGGCAGTAAAAAACTTGCTTGGTTGACCCTGAGGAGGTATAATGGGTGTTAGGAGACGGTGGAGGGGAGGGAGGAGGGGTGATATGAAGAAGAGATTGATAGAGATACAGGAGTAAAGGAAAAAGAGTGGTGGATAGTTATTTGCTCAAACTTTCAAGGAAGAGACGATCGTGAAAGATAAAAACAGAAAGCGAGCGAAACACTATATATAGCTTCCATAGTACACCGTGCAGAGGGAAAAATCAAACAGAAGTTTTCTAGAAGGCATTATCAGGGTATGAGCGTGACACCACAGGTCCGCATACAGATGATTCAAGGTCGACAATCTCTGACTGAGATCTATGTATGCAAAACTCCTATATGGCAGTAGCTATAATGACTCACAGTGAACCAGGCATCATTGAGGACTCTCATGGCAGTCAACCTTCTTGTTGTGTCTTTACACAGCATTCCTCTGATCAGTGTCTGGGCTAAAGTACGCACAACAAAATTTCATTGGAATCATACTCACCCAAAGGCGTATAATAATTATGATACATAGTACGTATATATGTGTATGCATGCTGAGTAAGAGTATATATACTGTGCCATAGCACAGTTGTTTGAGGTTTGCCTTTGTGTTGTGTTGAAGATTTGAACCCCTGACCAGTTGTATTGCCCCAGTAGAGCTCTCGCCTAGAGTGCATAGTGTCATGGGTTCGAATCTCATCTAGGGCAGCTCTAGGAAAGGGAAGAGTTGTCCTGGCTTTGTTGTTTGCCTCTGCTTTGCTCTAACCTCATTGGTGTTGACACATGTGCTAACCTTGCTCAGAGATATTGATCCACTCTACTTCTTTGAATGTCGGCTCGCCATGTACGATACACTCTTCTAGCTTCAGGTTTGCATCACCGTGAAATGGAACCTTCCCACAGATTCTGTTGGCAGAACAGGGCAAGGGGGGAAACAAAGAAAGTGTCACTTGATGGCAAGTGCAATGGCGAATTTTGTTGCATAGTTGCTTTGGATCGACCTCTTTACACTCTGCTCTTAATATTATACATGTTTGAGTAAATCTCACATGTAGTACATGATGACTCCCAGGCTCCAAACGTCGCACATCTTGGTGTACTCGTGTCTGCTGAGGATGACCTCTGGGGCCATGTAGTACGGAGTGCCGCAGCGCTCGTCCATGATGGGGTCCTCCAGATCCGACAGGCTCTTCATGTGTGCCAGTCCAAAGTCTGTCACCTGTTCAATTGATGCTGGGTAACCCTTGCCATCCCTATAATCACTAAGTACTTAACTTTGTTCTAATACTCTGGAGAAAAATACGGCTCGGCTGCTATACAAATCTCTTCCTTATAGTGTGTATATAATAATAAATTATGGGGGCAATATTTGAGATTACAGATTGTATAGCTCCCACGGCGTTTTTGCATGTTTAATGATACACTAGGGCCCGTGTAAGTGCCGGCACAGATGGCTGTCTTCACTTCACTCCCAAACTCACCCAATGCTGCCATAATATGACAGTCAATCCCCGAACAATTCCCAATGGGGTACAGCCTCCAATTCTTAGCTAATCTTACTCAATACACAGGTATAACTGTGGGGTTCAGCTCATTATTTTAGTACAGCCACCTATGCACAACTGTTGGTGTGGGTAGCTACACCCTCCAATCTATGACACACATTGAATGCACAAGTGTATCATCGGGCACACCCCACAATCCTCCCAATAACTACATGGCCCGTTATAGTCGCAGATCACGAACAAGCTTACTCTGATGTCTATCTTGTCAGTCGCAGAGTTGATAGGCGATTTCAGTAGTACATTCTCAAGCTTTAGATCTCTGTGCACAATATCTGGATGGTTGTGAATGATACAGTGTTCTGAAATGTTGTATATGTAGTGCGCATGTTCTTCTTACCATTGCTATGAAGGTAGGTTAGCACCTCCGTGAGCTGTCTCATTACTTCTTTAGCTTCCTGTGTAATGAGAATAGCACAAATTGGAGGTATAGTGATAGGCTTGCATGGTTTGCACCCCTGCCGATTTGATGCATGAAATTATAGTTCATAGCATACCAGCCATTGGTAGATAGATAGATAGAGATAAAACCACCACCAACATATACCCAAAATATCCATACAAAACACACATACACAAATACACATGACATGACATGAGAGCACATGCAGAGCTTCATGTAGTTTAAAAAGAACAGATCTGCAATACATCACTTCCTGTGTTAGCACACTGATTGGAAATTCACGTGCTTGCTCAGCTTTATACAGACAACTTTCAACAACAGTGTAACTTGCGTAAGTAAAACACACATTCATACTGAGGGTATTCCTCGCAATCATCTGCTTGCATACATTATGTACTGCAGAAGGAAACAGGGCTTTAGTTCCTATAGAGGTCCCATGGGAAAATCGAGGCCTATACTGTGCTATAAGAGCCATACATACCTGCTGCACACCACAGCAGAATTTGATACCCTCAGAGCAGTTTGCAGAACACACACTTATCATTCCATTTAAACAGCTCATGCTCGATGGCGTAATGTGTGCCAATATAAATAATAGTGTGGGTGTGATTAGAGCTGTGAGTACTAACAGACTCTCTGAAGTAGCCAAGTTGTTTGAGTCTTGCTGTCAGTTCTCCTCCAGTACATAGCTCCATCACCAAGTACATTTTCTGCAGCAACATCACAAGAGTCCAGTAACATATTACTATGGAACCTCAGAACAGGCAGCCCACCTTTTTTTTATACTTAACCTGTAAATATACACTTTACTCTGCACTAAGGAAGTACAACGTACCCTCAAAATGGACCATGGGGGTATAATCATTATAATTATGTCGTCAGATTTTCCCTGACATTCAAATATATGGATGCATGGTGGACAGTGGCAGATTGATTCTTCATGCATGCATGCTTTGGCTGTCCTGAGTAAAGCGAGGGTGATTCGTATGGATGGTTAAGTGGTAGGGTCTTGGTGGTCCTGTTTTATTGAATGGACTGTACATGATGGCTTTATGCATGGTTGCCTTATTGCCTAGTGGTCCTGCAGTATTGAATGGTCATTCTATGCATGCATACCGTAGTGGAGAATGTGCTGTACTCAACTTAGTGTGCATGTATGTACCTGTGGTGTTTCTAAGATATCTTCCAGTTTTATAATATGGGGATGATCGAGTCTTTTGAGGACCTCCACTTCTCTAGTCAGCATCTGGATACTAGTGCTTCCGGGCTGTAGATGAAAAAGTGGGAGGGGCTGGTACATCACCGACCACTGCTAGCTGTACTTAGCCAAACCTTGTCCTTGTTCACGGTCTTGACCGCCAACAGCTCTCCCGTGAAGCGACTGGTCACCTCTCGCACTATCCCGAAGCTTCCTCGTCCGAGCTCCTGGCCGATGGCGTAGCGTTTCTCCACGGCCGCGTCGTCCTCCACCCGCGAGTGAGGTGGCCGCTGATCGGGAGGCCTGGTAGTTGCTGCTTTGTAAGAAAAAGACATTCTTCTGTCCAAATTGGCAACCTCCGCCATGGGATATGAGCATGGGATGTGGGATCGCCTCCCTTTTATTTTTGTTTACTCGTCGCGCGCACCATTGGCAACGGCCGCGTGGAATTGCCCGTAAAATTTTTAGGCGGCGCGCGTCTTTTTTCACGTCTGGAATGCAGGCACGCACTGGAATGGAACTGCGCACCAGAGATTGGGGGTGGGGCTAATTCGTCGTCACGATCTCCGTATACTTTGTAAACCCGGTCTCCGTAATCTCTGTGCGAGGTCACTTGCAGCTGCCGCAGACAGTGATGGCAGGCGAAGCAACGTGTATACGCTGACAGTGTTTGGGCGATGAACAGTGTACGCTGCGGTGAGCCAAGTGGGCAGAGACCAGGGTCTAAGACAGAAGGACCATTCTAGAGTTCTACATTCGAACGTCCCCAAGTGAAGCCGATACGCTCTCTTCCAGTCATGTTGGTATGTACGTGCAAATTATCTCTGTGTGTACCGGTTGTGTCTGTGTGTGTACCCGTAGTGCATCTACGCTAGCGGGTTTGTGCGTATCGGCGGTCCTTCTCGGCTTCCCCCCTGACCGCTGTTTAGTGGGTGGACACCACCCGACACCACTTGAGCTCTTGTTCCCCTGCTGATGTCGACAGTAACACGCCTGGTTTCTTTCGGCCTCTCGCTACAACATGTGTGTGGTGTGGTATTGCATAGTACACACACACACTCCGCGCTACGCTACGCCTTCGCCACCCCGCGGGTGTCTTGCGGCACTCGGTTTCTACTTTCCAGCGCCTTTTCGAGAGCCATCCGAGACGTGTAGCGTTTCTGTGTCGCCGTACTGTTCGTAACCTGTAGCCAGCATATGAGAAAACGAGTATTAGCTGGATGTACCCGACCAGAAGCGTAGAATCGGGGAAGTGGCAGTGCGCTCGGCGGATATCAGTCACAGCAGTTATGAAAAACGACTTAGTGGAGATTCGGGGAAAATGGCCTCTGTAGCTAGTGTTCCAGATGGCCTTTTCTTCCTACCTCGTCCTCGTGAGTGCCCACTGGACTTGGTCCTGGTGGTGTAAATCACTCTTAAGGGCTTTCCGCGTTCAGTTCACGAGGCGCTATGCTTCCTAGCTGGTATTGGAGAAAAACAGCTGGTGAAATGTCTCATACATTTCCCATTGTTGGGGTGTATATTGCACAGACATGTCATGCGTGTACTTGGTTTACAGGACTCTGATTATGTGTACGTAAACATTCCAACTATTTTACCGGGCTCCTTGTCACCCTGTGCTTAATTGTAAAAAATCCCAGTTGGACATACGTATATGGTGGGACATGTAAGCCGGTGAGTGGACACGTAAACATGTTGTATGTCATTTTTGGGCAAATGTGCATGCACCACTGTGCGTAAGACAAGAGCGGGACAATGGTGTTATACATAGTGCCGCAGGCTTTATGTTTACTTGCTGTTGATACTCTGTACGATACACACTTGTCTCTGTGTATTTGTTGTCATTTTGCCTGTGTGTGTGCGTGTCGGTGGAGTGCCGTGTGTTGTATTTTTAATCTCTGTTTTGAGCGGCGTTGAAGTTGTGTAGTGTGTTTGCCTAACGATTGTGCGATTACACCATTGTTACTGTGTGTGCTCATAGTATATTCACGTCGTTGTGAATTATTCGCGGACCAAGTGCTTCTAGAAAGCTGGTGATAAGACTAAAACAAAGGCACAAATCTTATACTCGCTGTTTACTATGATGTAATGATTTTCATGTATTGTAATAATGTTGTAGGGGAGTCTCCTGTTACTGCTGCTTGTAGCATGGGACACATACGGGTGTAATATTTCCTTACGTACATGTAGTTTAGATTATATTTCACTCGTATTGCATTTTATCATACAACATTACAATAGTCATGTAGTGCTTGGAAACAATTCATTGCTCTGGCAGCAATTATTATTATACGTGTGCATTATATATACCTGAACTGAGATTGTATGTAGCACCATTAACTAAAGTCAGAGTGTGTCTTAGCTAATACTTGGTGGTGGTGGTGGTCTGATGGTGGTGGACACTGCTACTATATACATAAGTAGGATTCCTAACCAACTTCTTGACCTGACGCAAGACATTCTTTCGCCTCCCAATACTGCCACATGCACAGACTCAACACCACTACAATACCACTGTCATATATACATGTACATGACTCTATGTGTCCCACTGTATGTGTATGTGTGTATGTACATCTATTGTATGTGTAAGAATTGGTGGGTGAGGAATGTATGGGTGGGTGTGGTTGGCTCTCTCTGGTGAAGCAGATACCTTTGAATAGCCTGCAAGAGAATACACTTCACTATACTCAATTCTATGTGGACAGACTTGCCACCTGCACCTCTGTACAGAGCCACACTTATCAGCACTTCAAAGTTGACTGGCACGCCGGGATAACCGGGCACCTCCCACCCGAAAACAGGGGAGTAATGCCCATGTGCCGAGGTGCCCTAAGAATGGGTTGTATCGGAGTTCACGCTTGTGGATTGCTAGCAGAATACGTTGGTGGAAGCAGCTATGCAACCGAAGTTCCCTAACACAGAAACAAAACCCAAATATCTACATACATAGGTCTAGCATGTGTAAACCTGGATGTTTTCGGACCAAAAAATTTCACCCTTGTTGGTATAATAAACCATTGGGCTGAAGCTGCAGCTAACTGAGATTTGACTTACCAGTGGTAGTAGTTGTCCTGTCTGTGTAAACTGCTGCATTAATAATATGAGGTTTCTGTGTCCTATGCATTCTTGTGGCTTGCTTCCCTCTTGATTGCCACTACAACCTAAAGATGTCTAAGTTGTAGGAAAACTGTAAACTAGAAGTGTGTCAGTTTGGTTTGTATCTAAGTTCTCAATCCAGAGGGAAAACTGACAGGGGATAGTACTGAAAGTGTGGATTCGACCCTCATGTAGAGGGAAAACCCGTATGTATACCTGTAATAAATAACAGTAAAGTAGATCTATAACCCCTGAAAAATCAGGGAAGCAGATCAGAGAGAGGAGGTGGCGTTTGAATTGTGCGAATTGAACAGTACTGAAAGGATCTCTGGTCTCTATAGCGGCCATGATGATTGTATATATGTATTTTCTGCTGCATTGAGGTATGTAGAGGGCTAAGTAAATTGCTGAGGCCAGCTTGTATATACTGAAGGAATGCAACACATTGTTGGCGAGTGAGTGCGAGCAGTTCAATATTTGACACACGTTTTGCGCATATTTAGAATCATGTACAACATTACGGTGCAGTGCCCGACAGAGCAAAATATAAATATGTATATATATAATATAATTCCTGCACTGAAACGCCAACAACCTTTGATGAAGAAAATGTAGCAAACGTGAAGTTCATGAAGAAACCTTTCACTGGGGACTGATCCTGCAATGCTCCTGCAATGAGCTAGAGTGTCACTGGGGAAATTGGTGAGATATGTATGTATAGAACGACAGGTGCTTTAGTGTGCTTTTCACTGTTGTTGCTTTCGTTAGGTTAATAATTTTGTCTAGCCCCTCAATTAATTGTGTCAGATTAAGTCTATAAGGCATGTGGTGCACGCCTGTTGCAGCCAAGGTATATACAGTTATTTTAACCCCCACGCATGCAGATGAATACACATGTGTAGCAATAAGCCCATGTTTGCTTGGATGTGGATCTACAATAATATGTTTGTAAACTTTCAGAGGGAGATAAAACTTGTCGGTAGCGAATGTGACTTTGTGAGGAAAAATCATTCGCTGATTTACTGATCCAGCAATACAGTTGTCCCCACCTACTTGAACCATGTACTGTAACCCTCACTACGCATGTGCACTGACCGACATGACAGTTGAAAGTTTGGCTGTACAGTTTAGCTAGAGTAGGCTGCAGGGTAAAAGCACTACTCACTGGCAAGTGTTTGTGGCTGACCAGTTGGTTTAGTTACTCCAGGCCATTGTGGTGGGTCTTCCTGGGCCCGCCTCTCACTCCATGTCTCCCTAATGACCTTCTCACGACTGTGAACGCACCTGTCAGTGCAAACTCCAGCGCATGACAACAGGGTGTTTTCCTGGGGCTGGGGAGGGGGGTTGATTTGGCCCCCTGAGCAAGGTCTAGTGTCTGAAACCACGGCAAGGTCAGTGTGAGACTAGTGTCTGAAACCACCAATTCCCCTCCTGACACACACATACACACAGTACACACAGATAGCCTGCTGAAAGATGCAACCGTTGCATGTTTGCACTGCATATCCCTCGTGTAGGCTATTTGTACGGAACAAATGTTCCATTTCCACACAATGCAACTCCTGTATAAATACAGCGTACTTTGAATTCAACTGCCCCCTTTGATTTGCTTCTGCTCCGCTCTTTAACCAATTGGGGAAAGACACAGTGGAAATGAATGAAACATCTAGTCTGCATTGGGATACCATCTCTCTAGGTTAACTGATAGCCATGTATCACAATGAGAAATATACCGATCATTTGCTTGATATGGGGGAAAGAGCCTTTTGGTAACTTGCTAGAGGCATGTGAAGTTTTTACTACTCAAGAGGCACATTGTATACACACCAGATAGTGATGTAGCCCCCACAAACCTACACCTGACCTACTAGGAAGTAAATTTGTCAAGCCTCTGGACCAGGGAAGCCCACTCCCTGCAACTGTTACCTCATGCTGTGCATGAACTGTTTGGTAGTGGTGCGTATTGCTCTGTAGCAGACATCAGTGGGGCAGGAGAAAGTGTCCGTGGTAGTGAGGTGTCCTATTTTTTCAGACATTGTTATTGAAATGGTGCCCTTATTAGAGAGGTGTCTTCATTTCAGGGGTGTCCTTAGGGACTGTGTATGTAACTGTGTGTTGGAGAAATAATTATGAGCTGGTTGGTTTGGGTTTATTTGGTATGATGTCCGTAGTTAGTCTATCCATTAGTTGAGTTGTTCATGGTTTGTTGGGTCAAGTCTGTTTGAGCATTGGACTGCGTCCGTCCTCTAAGATGTGTGTGTGTGTGTGTGTGTGTGTGTGTGTGCTAAACTAGTAGTCAGTGCAGACCGTAACTACATTATGTGTGTTATGTACCAGAAAGTTATACCTATTACATGTGTAAGAGTTTGAAAGTAAATATCCGAACGTTTCGTCAGTAATCCGCTATCCTCTAATAGTGTGGCTACTTCATGTATTATGTAAGCATGGGTAATGCGTCATTTAGCACAGCCATCTTATAATAACACTTGTCGAAATACATCAAGTGCACTAATCTCGCTATTCAGAATCTTGTAAGTGTGTTACAGTGCCGTGTGTCCTGAAATAGAGGCTGCAACAATCCCCTCTCGGACCTCCATAGTTACTAGAAGGATTACATCGCGTATTTCTTGGTAGTTTGATTTTTCGTCCACATATTTAGAATCACGTAAAGTTTTTGCCGACGACGACTGCAACGAGACAGCAA